GGGGGAATGCAGTAGTGTTGTGAAAAGTGCTGTTAGGGTGGAAGAGGCGTTAGTCTCTGAAGACAGGGTGAGTTAACTGCGGGCTTTCATACGGAACGCTCAGTGAGCTGGCTAGGGATTGACTTTCCCCCTTCCTTTTTCCAGTTTATCGGTGGTACCTGTAACGAGTGCAGCATTGGTTGGGTTGCCTAACGTGAACATACATGTCCTAAATTTGGAGTGAGGGAGGAAACAGCATTCCTCCTTTTGTCCGGAGTAAATCAAATGTCCTGCTGCTATAGCGATAGTTTAAAGTTATTAAAATAGCATTCCTTTCTTACAGATCACGCTGTTCTTTTTCAAATGATCTTTATTGTTTCTGTTCTGTGGCTGTACTGTCAGCTTTCCTCAAGTGGTATGGGCTAAATTTTTTCTAAATAGCACATACTAAATTCAGATTGAAAAAAAATTTCAAGTGTTTTAAATGTAGTTGAATGTCAGTAGCGTCAGAAATCTGCTTTTAGACACGGCTGCAGTGTAAGTAGTAAAGACAGGTGACTGGAACCTCAAATGCAAACTATGTGAATTTCACTGTCATTTTTGTAAGCACACAGCTCCAAGTAGTATAAATATTTTTATACATATAAATACATATAAATATTTTTATACAGATATTTTTATATTTATTGCAATTAGTATAAATATTTTTCCTCTGGGTTTGAGATAGTAGTTGACCGAGCTCAGAAAGCGTTAATTTAATGCAATCCTTTGCTGCATTATATATTTCTGGCTGATCTTGGCCCTGATTCTACAAATTGCTAAAAATGGACTTAATTTGAAATGCAAATAGGCGTAGTGGATGTACAAATTTAAATTTCACAGAACCACAGGATGGTAGGGGTTGGCAGGTACCTCTGTGGATCATCTTATCCAACCCCCCTGCCGAAGCAGGGTCACCTACAGCAGGCTCCACAGGACCTTGTCCAGGTGGGTCTTGAATATCTCCAGAGAAGGAGACTCCACAGCCTCCCTGGGCAGCCTGTTCCAGTGCTCCATCACCCTCAGTGTGAAGCAGTTCTTCCTCTGCGTTCTTTGCAAAGTTGTGGCCTTTGTTTATATCTGCAAATGCTCTGCTCCTGCTGTGTGCTTTGGTTCAGCAAGGAAAAGAAGAATTTAACTGGAAAAGCTGTTCAATGCATAGTTTTGCTTGTCACTGTAAACAAACGATTTTTCTCCAAATTTTGCTGCTGTCGCTGGGCTTAAAAGTTAAGATTGTTTTTAGTCCTTTGAGTTACAAAACCAAACTTTCTTATACTTGCAAGCGTGCAAAGGGAGAGAGAATTGGTGTTTAGCAGGTTGAACTGAATTGAAATGTCAGTTATGTTTGTTATGAACCACAGAGTACTCACTGCAATTTACCATTGTTTCCAGTATAGGGATGAGACATTTGTTTCTTTTTAGTGCTGGAATGACAAGCTCAAGCCTGTGGCTGTTACAGCACCTGATAACAATGTGAATGTTTAATTCAAATCTGCAACTTTAGAACAAACCTACCTACCTAGCCTTGCTCTTGCCTGTCACCCCTGTGCTACTGAGGCCAACATTGGCTTGCCGTTGCTGCTGGTTACCTTGTCCGGTGAGTATGAAACCTGATTTTACTTATCTGAGTAACAGTTGCACTTGATTAGGGTTTCTGTAGCCAAAATTTTGTCAGACTCTTATTTGTATTTTTTATATTGGTTTTGAAATATGCGATATCACATAAAAGACTATGTATATCTCCATTTTTTTTTTCAGCTTTTTGAGAAGTAGTGTAATTTACTACAGGAGTAAAAAAAATATATATCCCTGTACCTTGTTTGGAAATTGGATATCTTTAGACCTTGTTTAGATCCAGTTATTTTTATCATTGACTATGTTAGCATATGATGAAAACAATCTTGGAAGATTTTAATATTCTGTAGGGTTTATTAATACTAGAGAGACATAGGCAGTCAGCTTTTATCAATGTGCAAAAGTACTTGACCTTAACACAAAAGGAATGTATTCTTGGGAGTCTTAAGGGGAATTGCTGTTTCTCCAGAAGGAATCAATCATGGCTGATGACTCTCAGAGAAACTTTCGCTCAGTGTATTATGAAAAAGTGGGATTTCGTGGAGTTGAAGAAAAGAAGTCACTGGAAATTCTATTGAAAGATGACCGGTTGGGCAAGTTGATTTCACTGTCTCATCTGTTACTTTGGTGATTTGGGGCTGGGGAGGGAATAATAGAAAATGTTTACCTGCTTTGCTTAGTACTCATTTAAGTTTTGCATCTTTTACCGCTGATCTGTCAGTTATTACAAGCAGTTCTTTGAGTTTCAAAGATTTTAAAATCTGATTTTTAAAAACTATTAGATTTGTCTGCTTGCTTTTTTCTTTTCTTTCTTCTCTTGTTCTCTGTGCCCAAGAAACTAAAAGTTTTTTAATGAAAACAGTTTTAATCTGAAAATGTATTGTCTCATGCTGTTAATTCTATCTAACCTCAAAACAGTGAAGATTTTGTTACTGCTGTTGGTCCCTGAGGAGTGCCACATCTCTAACAGAGCAGAAAGATAAATGTAGTCCCTTTAACAAAGCCCTTAATTGTTTTGATGTAGCAACACAAGTTACAAAATGTGTATAAAAATAGTACAGTTTCTTTCTGGTGAAACCTAGGGTAGCTACAGTTTTATTGTAAATCAAACCAACATACAGTTTCTGGGGCACGTTCTCTTCTCAATTGGTGAAAAGTATTTGTCGTATTTAGGTAGATCAGAGACTCAAAACTATTGATAATTATAATGAAATTTACCGTATTTTTGTTTTCCTCTTTATTTCTCTACAGATATTGAGAAGCTTTGCACATTTAGTCAAAGATTTCCTCTCCCATCCATGTATCGTATACTGGTGTGGAAGGTGCTTTTAGGTATGAAACATGACATCTGTGATCCTCTGTAGAAATGAGTATGTAGGAAAATGTATTTTTTTTTTTCTTTTTTTCTTTAGAGAGTTAATGACATGGATTATTCTGTACTACTTTGTCTACTGATACATGTTTAGGCTATTTTGTTTCCACCTAGGATGCACAATGGCAATTATAAAACAATATTCCATGCACAGTTTTTGATAACTTTTGCTGAAGTGCACCTTGAAGAATGTATTTCTATATGTAGCTGTGTAACACTATCCGAAGTAAATTTACAAAATGAATTTGAAAGGTGGATTATAATAAGTCATTGATACCTGATAAGATACTCAGTTATGTTGCTAAAATAGCAGACAATGAAGTATAGCTGTTATTAAGCTTAAATAAACTGGGCAAGGTATGGAATTGGTATTTATTCTAAAGAGAAGCTTTGTGTTTTATAAAATCTTGGTTTCTTCTGGCTTTAAGTGGTATTTACCATTGAAGAAGTTAGGCCAGAGACAAATTATGGTGTTCCTGGAAACCACAGAAAAACATAAATAAATTCTGTTTGCCTTGAAGTGCATTGGTCAGATGGCTAATTCAAGAGTACTAATGACTTTGCAGTAACTGGTTAAGTGTGTTGGGTTTACTAGACGTGAAGTTGTGTTACTTGGAGACAGGAGGGGTTGTGGAGGGACCAGGAGGTCTGACCCTTTCAAGGTATCTGGAGAGTTTGCCTTAGGGTTGCTGTGTGCAAAGAAACACCGCCAGGTACATAATCTGACTGAATCTCTGGAAGAGAAAAGTGATTTACCATACTGTTGGTGGTGGAGTATTGTGCCACTCATGAAAAACTTGAGTGTGGCTCCCGTACTGAGTCTTGTATTACCAAGGCTGTGCTGGCAGAAAGGGTGCTGATAGCTGAAGTGTTGTTTCATCAGAGAGAGACCAGCAGCATCAGTCTGAAGGTTGGCTTGGAAGCTGCTGTCTTTCGCTGTCTGTGAACTATCCTACTACTTTGTCCTTTGGCTCTCCAGAATATGGGCTACAGATCCCATAAATCTCTCTTGCATGAAGATTTTGGCATGTGGTTCAGAGACAGGAAGATTGGCGACTCCTACTTCAGACTGAGTATTAAAAAAAAAAAAAAAAATTCTCTGTTTTAGGATGTTTATCTGTCTTAGGCCATGCCATCATCAGCAATTTTCAAGTAAATGTCTTCTGTTTCCTTTCATGGTCTTCATGTTCCACTACAGTATTTGGAGTTTGAAATAATGTATTAAAAGGTTTTATCTGAGTTTTAAACAATCTTTTAAAATTTTTCTTTCTTCTCATTTTCCTTCCAATTTTCTATGATTTAAAAAGTGTGGCTTCATATTCTTGATTATTTGGATTTGTAAGCCTTTTTTGGGAGACGTAGTAAATGAACAGTGCGTGGAAGAGGCAAGGTCTAATTACAAAACTTCAAGTTCTTGGTATTGATCATTGAACTAACACAGTAATCCTACTTGATAAAAGCATTTGCCAAGAGTACTAAATTTAGGATGAAAAAGATCCTGGGCCCTAGTGAAGTAGTCAGCATCCCTTAAAATATTAGTAGTGGGAAATACAGTGTAGGAGATTTGGACAAGTGACTTAGAAGACCCTTCAGCCAAGATTGTAATAGCAAAATACAGTCTCTTGGGAAATTTGTAGCTCACTGTAGAGCCAGTGGTGTATGTCTGACTGTTTTAGGCAGGATGATTTGTGAATCATACGATAACACAAAACCCCTTCTGAATTAACCATATGGAAAATTACACTGAATTTTTTTTTTTAAGGATTTTGTATTTTAAACCCAGAATGATTTATTTCGTGTACACATTCTGTCATTCTGTTTACTCCTTGGGTAAACAGAGGTATAAGGACTTCTTTTCTGCTGCATCTCAGTACTAACACTCATTAGAAGAGCCGGTATTCAGAATGGCAGTGCAAAATACCTCTCTCTAAATGATTGGAACAACAGTCCATTTCTGGTGGGAGGTGTTACATCTCCCCTAAATAAAGTGAATAGTTTAATAAGAGGGATTCTATCCTGTCAGCAAAATTACCACAGACACATACCAAGGTTTGATGCTGTCCCAGGTTACATGGTGTTTCAGCGGTGTCTCTGTTAACTTCCTGTTCAAGTGTGACTCGTGGTGGTTTCTAGACATCCTTGTGTCGTTTAAGCTTCATTTCTGTCTGCTGTATTTGAGGAAAGCAGTTGGCAGTATGTACATACAAAGTCATGATGTTGGCTCTGTTGCTGCATAAAGTGAAAAATGTCATGCTCTGTCCTAGCTTTTGGAATGCAGACAGATGTGCAGTTGGAAAATAAAAGAAAATTTTCTGTCTGTTGCGCGTGTTACTAAACCTCAGCCGTTTCATGGTTTAACACTTGGCGGGAATATTCTTTTCTTCAATGAGAGATAAAAGCAGCAAGTAGTCTGCTGGAGAACTGATTTTTGTGGAGTACTTTGTTCTCATGTGTTTCTACAATGTGAAAAATTCTGCTCCAGTAGTGAAATGGAAGTTGTTTGTTTGGTGGTCTTTTTTTTTTTTTCTCCTTTGGCGTATGTAAGATCTTAGTTCTGTTCTTAGCCTGTGACAGTTTTGTGAACATCAGTGCATGGCAAGATTGAGTCTTGAGCGAGGGGAAAGATTGCATGAAATGTCAAGCATAATTTCTGGAGATTTTAAATAGTTTAATTTTCTTTGTGTCTCTGTTTTTTTTTCCGCTTTTTTATTTTTCCTCCTAGGAAACCAGAAAAAAATACTTACGTTGTGCTAAGAAAGTTAAAAACGTTAACTTGCAAAGTGTTTGGGTGGTATTTTTAAGTTTTAATCTGTAACTGAACTTCTGTGATTGATTTACTTCTGAATGTTGTTTTAGAGAGGATTAATCTGTATGACATAGTGAATCAAGAATTGTCTGGGAGAGATCTAACAGTAAACAAATAATAATGGAATGTACAGTACCTTTGAATTAGTTCATTGCATGTATATATATTCTCTGGTCATCTCAGGAAAGTGTAGAATTTGAGAACGTGAACAGCTAATGTATATAAATATCATTCTGCATCCACATTATTTTCAAAATAAATGGAAGCTGGGCACAAATATGCAACTTGTACTGTATTAAAAACTACATGTAGGTATAAATAAGTAACAAGATTCATAACTGAAAGATAAAGAAAGATTGTTGGAGAGAGTAAACAAATTATTTTTCATCTATCCCAACAATGACATCTCTTATCAGCACACCCACATGATATACAAAAGAGTTAGCGTTCATTTGCTGAAAACCACGTAGAACTTAAGAAACGATAGTCTAAGGGTAGATTTTTGCCTATGCTCAGTTAACATACTAAATTTGCTTTTATAAATCTAATACTAAAGTGTTTTGTTGGTCCATTGGCTTCCAGTTTTTTAGAGTTTTCTCTCTGTATTCTTTGATCAAATTTATAAACAAACTGCAGTGCTGAGTCCTACATTTCTGTAGGCTGGAGTTGTAGCAGGAATTAAATTCAGGCAGAGCTCTTGAAAAGGGAGTTTGAGTGCTCTGTTTTTTCTCTTTACAGTTGCTTATCTTTTTCTTCTGATTTCTTTTTTTTTTTCTTCCCCCAAGGAATTATTCCTCCTCACCATGAATCTCATGCTTTGGTGATGAAGTACCGGAAGGAGCAGTACTGGGATATACACCATGCGCTTCGTGTAATTCGTTTTATCAATGATTCTACCCCACAGGTAGACGTTTTCCTCCGCATACATCAACTGGAATCAGGAAAATTGCCTCGAAACTTGGCTTTTCCATTGGTCAGTTGTCATTTTAATAGTCTTTTAAATACAGTTTTTTTATTTAACTTTGAACTATAAACCTGTGAGAAACAGAGCGGCAAGTAGCCCCACAAATGCACCTAGATAGACAAAGTAAGGTGAATGGAAAACAGAGAAGTACTAGTATAAAATAATGGATTTTAGTCAGTGCTTTTCTCTTTTTCTTCCCCTAAGTACTTATGTAAGATTTTATGCCTTAAAATCTCTTTTGTGTATTTTGCCTGCTAGGCTTCAAGCCTTTTGTACTCTAGCACACTTCAATTTCTTTATAGCACTGAAATCAAAATGATGTAATCTTATTGGAGCTCTTAGCTCCTTAAATGTCCTGGAACGAGGATAATTCAGAGCCAGTACAAGCAATGATCTATTGCAAATTACATTGTATTTTTAAATTATTTGTTTTTAAATCTGGACTTTTAATGTGTTGACCTCCTTTTTCTGTTAGTCTGAACTGTTGCCGGCTTCTGTCAGGTAATGCATGTACTCTGTGGTTTACAGTGTACTCACATGTGGGTTAACAAGTCTATGTTCTGATGAGAAGTTTATAGTGTGGTGATGAAAACAGTGTGTGGGTGTTATGTATAAGCCTCTGTGAGACAGGAGGTGATGAAAGGAGCCATGGGACTTCATGAAGTGGATTTTATCCTGTATTTAATGTTAATTTATCCATGTTCACTCTAGCCCAGCTTACTTGGTTATTTTTCATCTGTAGTAACAAAATTTAACATAACAAATTAAAAATTTAAAAATAAAAAAAAAAGTTAAACATAAAGTTAACATGGAAAATCCAGTAAGATTTTGAACTAGAGGACTGTATACAGCTTTCTCTTGTTGGAGGAGGGAGGGTGGTTTTGTGCTGTTATCATTGCCTAGGAACGTGGCCATCCTACCCTGCAAGTTTCCTGCAGAGAGATTTCCTTGATCTTGGCATGTGACGCAGTGGGTTGAAGATTCATGCCTTCTAGACCAGAGTCACTTTCTAAGCAAGTGTTTTGTCAGTGCATCATAGAGTACTAGCCACTGTCAGTACTATGATGGGGCTTAATAGAGATGGTGTTTTAACAAACCCACAGTTACTAGTGCTGCAACTTGTGTTTGTTTTGATGCAGAAAGCATCTGTTCTTTTTTTATGCCAGCCTGTTTTCAGTGCAGTCACTGTCCCCTTATGCTTACAAGAGGTTACTGCTGGTAGTAATGCGGATGTTTTATTGTGGAGGCAGACGGAGTATAAAGGTGATGTTGGATTGGTCTAAATATTTTGAAATGTTCGAGTTACAAATCACAGAAGTCTGCTAAATATGTTTTGTGCATCTGAAAGCAGAGGGTTTAAGTAGGATATATGTGTATTGCAGCAGTCTATGTAGCTGAGGCATATCCCAGTAATAATTAGACAGTCCACGTGTTTTGTATGAGTTGTAATCTGTGCAAAAGTCTGTGATAAGATAGCTTACTGCTACTGAGGGTTACAGTAGATCAGACTGTGGCTACACATCTGGCTTGTTACCCAGCCTCCTGATGTGGTCGCTACTGCGGCGTAAGGAATGCTGTGAGAAACAGTGCAAATACAGAGCCTCTCCTTGTGCATCTTCCCTGTTTAGAGACTTCCTGAGCTAGCTGTTGACGTGAGATCTTGTTGGTTTAGAGATAGCTCGCCTCCATCTGCCCTGTCTGCATTCATACCATTAATTGTGGTTTAGGCATGCTGATACTTCTGTTAGGAAAGTATATCCTCTGGGGAAAACAAGATGGCGTGCCCATCACGTGCTTCTGGTATTGTGGGGAAGAAGATACTCCTCACCTGGAAAAGATATTTGTGTATAGGAAGATGCTTATCTCAAACCAAATGATTTTGTGTATATTCAAGGTAGGCATACAGCTCATGGCTACATTATTTTTTCAGTAACTAACATCCATGGCAAAGGTGTTTGAGGGGCCTGTTTGGCCCTTAGCAAGAAATAGGATGAAAAATTGTGCTGCTATGCAGTATAAAAATTTGGAGCACAGCAATAGGAATATGGCTGCCGTGTTAGGATGTAGTATTATCTCATTTGAGAATATTTAAGAACTTTTAATTAGAGTTATTCCAGACTCCTGTTGTACGTTTTGGTTTTAAAAGCAAGACGAGCCTTATTTGTTCTGCTTTAATAGGTATCTGTCACCATCATGCAGCTGCTGCCCAATGTTTTATTTATGAATGTCAGAGCAGCTCTTTATGTGTGTTGATTCCAGTTTGTTTTCCCAAATAGCAGGAAAAAGGAGTATAAGCATAATTTAAAGAGATGGTCCAATACTTCTATGTAGTTAGTTAAATTTTTGGCTTTGTTTACCAGGAACCTGAAGATGAAGTGTTTCTTGCTATTGCTAAAGCAATGGAGGAAATGGTGGAGGATCCTATAGAATGCTATTGGCTTGTCAGTTGCTTTGTGAATCAGCTGAACAGCAAGCACAAAGATTCATTACAACAACTGGTAAGGAAAAAATAGTTTGGTTTTTCTTCTTTTTTTTTTGTGAGGAGAGCTCTGAAGGAGAGAGGAGGAAGTCATGGAAAGGATGAGAACTTTGAGAGTCACAATGTATGGAGACAACTGGAGCATCAGAGGTGACATCCTTGGATTCTGTTCCACCAACTGTTCTGAGAAAATGGGAGGAGTGATTCTTGTGTTGTGATTGTGCTGTCCTACAATGCTGTCTAACATAACATTAGAAATTGTTTTTGTTTGCTACACTAGTTTTCAATTACATCTTATTTTTTTTAGCTTAGCTAAAGCTTACGTAGTATCTGGTTGAATTATATTTCTCACAAATTGGTCACTGAAGAATTTTCTTTATTTTAAACAATTGAAGATGTCACAGAGTTAAGGACATCTCAATGATTGTCTGCTACTTTTTAGGCTGCATCTCTGACATCCATATGCTGCCCATTGGATGACAGACATAATTGTTTTGCTTTATAAATGGAGCAGGGTACTATATTCTTCAGAAAAACAGTATGTTGCAAATTAAGTTATAATAAAAAGTGGAACAGAGTTCTTGAGGCACTGAGCATTTAAATGCTCTCATAGAATATTAATTTTGAATTTCTGTCGTGCTGGTTCATAAATGTAAAATTTGATTGTAAAGAGAATGCATACTTATAAAAATTTGCTTTATTGTACAAAACCTTTTGTAATTCTTCAAATAGTCTGAACAGATAAGAAACATTTTAGTTAACAATACCCACAGAGTTGAAAGTATCTGAGTACCTGTGCCCTAGCAATCGCTGAGTGAAGATTTGTTGCCGAAAATTATGCATGTCCATTGTTATTCTGTTGGAACTAAGAAATCCTTTTTAAACCTACCTCCCAGGTTTATGCTGGAAGTGATACATAAAATTATACCAATTTCTGTAATTCCTTTTGAAGGACAGAGGAGGATTTTTAAAGAAAGTATGTGCTCTCACTACATAGGGAGTGCCAAGCGTCTCCCTCCCTAAGTCTTTGTTTTAATATGAACATCGTACCAAGACAATGTCAGAAAATAGACAGAGGAAGTGGCTTTTTTTTGTTTGACAGCTGAAGTCATTAGACATTTGCCTAATTATGGCAGAAACCATAAAGGCACTCCTGACTTTATGAAAATGTAAATTGGGTTGCATTAGAATTTAAACAAAACACGAATTATCCACATTTTTAAGCTCTACTTTATGCTGTTCTGTCAGCCTTTCTAAATACTTTTGATTTTTAAACAAGAAATCAATGTCCATCTTTTAATGTATTGCACAGGGATTTACTCTCAGGATTGATTTTTCTGGGTTTTGCTGCATTGTGTGTAATTTTTTTGATGTGTGCTAAGGCGATTAGATTTGAGGTGAATGAAACTCAGTTGTACTTGTGAAGGTTGCAGTAATTAGTGCAGGTTTAATCTCTGCATTGCCTTAAGCTCTCAAATAGCTCCTTGCATTAGGGAATACTGCATAGTTTGGAAGTTCTGCTAGTGGTCAGCAATTTAAGGAACCTGGGGTTGGTTGTTTAGTAAAGCACTTAATTAGCTAATTGCAAAAATCAGCAACACTTGTGTTTTGGAACATCATGGTTTTAGTTAAAATAATGCAAGTTCATTATTTTAACGTTATTTTCTGCTAATTTTTTTTTTTTTAAGACACTTCTTGCCTTACAGTGTGTGTTAACTCACATCAGAGTACCCTCTGTAGTTACCTAAAATTTTCCGATTCATTTCTCAGCCAAAAATTCTGGAGCAGTATTTGAACATTGAGGATAGCAGACTCCTGACACATCTGAAAGCATGTGCTGCAATGAGCAAACTCCCTTATGATCTTTGGTTTAAAAAGTGTTTTGCAGGCTGTTTACCGGAGTCCAGTTTACAGAGGCAAGTTCTCTTTTTTTCTTTCTGTTTGTAATTACATAGTAGCTTTAGCTTTTTGTCATCACTACCAGGCAAAGAACTTTCCTTGCTTTAAGATTATGGAGTTAACTTTATTGCTGACTTGGAAATGATAAAATTGGATTTGATTCCACTTGTTACTGATGCAAGATAATCTCCGTGTGATAATTTCTCGCATTAAAATTAAAAATGGATGGAGTTAAATATAGCAGCTGATTCTGTTAGACACTTAATGCCTCCTGGGATTTAAAACTCAGAATTCCCTCTTAGCGATAGATAGCTGAATAATAGTCAGTTTTTAGGGTTTTTAACCAAAATCCTTGCTTAGGGAGTGATCATGGTACTGCATTATCATTAGATAAAAAAGATTTGGTGAAATGTGTACTGGTTTCGGCTGGGATAGAGTTTTAAATTTCTTCGCAGTAGCTTGTGTGGGGCTGTGTTTTGCATTTGTGCTGAAAATAGTGTTGATAACACAGGGATGTTTTCGTTACTGCTGAGCAGCACTCACACAGAGTCCAGGCCCTTTCTGCTCCGCAGGCTGCCCCACCAGTGAGCAGGCGGGGGGTGCATGAGGAGCTGGGAGGGGACACAGCTGGGCCAGCTGACCCCAGCTGACCAAAGGGATGTCCCATACCATACGACATCATGCTCAGCAATAAAAGCTGGGGTGGAGGCTGGTGGGGGGCCGCTGTCTGGGGGCTGACTGGGCATTGGTTGATTGGTGGTGAGCAACTGTTTTCATTTGCATCACTTGTCTTTCTTGGTTTTTATTTTCCTCTCTCCTTGTTTTTTTGCCCTCTTTTCCTGACAATTTAAAAAAATTATTATTATTTCTTTTTAATTACTAGACTGTTTTTATCTTGACTTATTAGTTTCTTTCTTGCTTTTACCCTTCCGATTCTTTCCCTGTCCCACTGAGGGGGAAGTGAGTGAGTGGCTGTGTGGTGCTTAGTTGCTCGCTGGGGTTAAACCATGACAGAATGTTTAGTTTAAAAGGTACTAGGGCAGGTTGAGTATTACAACGTTAATGAAATAGTGCATTATACCGAGATTCTACGGTTAGAAATAGGTAGTCCAGCTTTTAAAAGGGCAAAATTCTTGTGCGTGGCTCTTCACTGAAGGGCCTTTGAAATGAAGCTTGTATGATTTCTCTAGTTCTGCTACCTCTGAGAACTCTTGGAGAGCAGAAAATTCCAGCTAGATGTAGAGAAACATATCCTTTCTGCATTAACGAGAGTTGCTAATAGCAGGAAGTGGCACAAAGAAAACGATGGTTTCGTTTTCAGCTGCCTGAAAATTTTGAGAAGTAACAAGGTTCAAGGGAAGTTTTACCCAGCACCTCCGGGACATCCGTGGCTGGAATTGGTACCTAGCATGGAAACAGAGTGCTTTGCAAATTGCTCTGTGTAAAATGCTTTACAGTGATAAAGGTGATCATAATCTGAATAATGAATGCAATCTTGCTTGTTTATCTGAAACTTCACATTTCGTGAAGGTAAGTGGGAAACAGCTGTTTTAAAATATGTTTTATTTGCCCTTACGAAAATAAGGGTTTTTTCTGGAACAAGCTAGAACATTAGAAATCACGCTCTCTAGTCCTGTTGTATCGTGGTCTTTGAGGTTCTGTATGTTTTACTGTTGGCAAAGAATATGTCTGAGAGAAAACAATTTTTTGAACTAAAACTGAAGGATCTCAGGGTAGACCTTTAGGTGTTATGCTGTGTGCAGCATGGTAATTGTTACATGGCAAGTTCTCCACATCACGGAGCTATAAGGCTGCAAAATAGTGATCTTTGTGTAGTGGTTGTGTGTGATTACTACTTTTATGGCTACAGAAATTATATAAGCGTGTATAAGAAGTTTGTTTCATCCCTAGAAGCGATTGAACCCACGTGGTTTGCCTGCATCTCTATTTCATATTTACATTTGTAAATTACTTTCAGCACATAATGATTGACCTTGTTTCAGTGTGCTTTCTGTATATGAAACTTAATGCCTTAAACTACTGTCAGTAGAAGTGACTGCTCTACCTGGGACTTGCCGGTCTCTTGAGCCCTTTTTTTCTGTAGGCTGCTGTGATCTGAAGTAGCCTTTGTGCACCACTGCATTAGGAACCTCTTCGCATGTCTTCTAGGAGGTATTTTTATTTACAGCTTATGTGATTTAATTTTGCTACTACGTCTTATGGCTGAGCACTAGAACTGAAAGAGGAATTTGCATCAGAGCAGTTTTGCTATTGGAAGATTTGGGGTTTTTTTAAATTTCTGTTGAAAATTGGAATATTTTATGGAGCTGCGTCATCTTCATAGTGTAAAAAAAAATCTAAAACAAGAATTTTGATTTCATATTTTATCTTAGACTCTTTAGTTTCGAACTTTTAGCATTTTAAATCAGTTCATTTATATGAGATATTTTATCTAGTTAGTGTACTGTTTAGCAATATCATATACTGTTTTCCCTTACTGAAACAGAATATTTTAACGACCCGAAATTTTTAAAATACTTTTTTGTTTTTTCATGGAAAAGGTCAAAATATTGGCTTTTTCTTGCTAGTTTAGGTTTCTGAATTATTCAGTTGTAATCATAATGGCCTCATTTTCTAAGGAAATAACATACTTCATGGGTAGCGTGTGACAGATGAACTTAATTAATGCTTGGAGATTCAGTTTGGATTAGAATCTAGAAGCCCGAATGCTTATCTGAAATGTTTCCAAATGGCAGTGTTGGAACTGCCAAGAATTCTCCGATTCTCCTGTGAGTTGTACTTACTTTTTGTCAAGTGAAAGATGATCTGAGCTCAGTCTTTTATGATTTAATTTAACTTATGATTTAGTACTGTATTTCTTAGAGAGGTTTCTTGTTTTCTATAAATTGTAGTCTTCTCTTCCAGGCAGCTAAATCTAAATCTAATGGTTTACTTTTTTTCTTTAACGTTCACAAGATTTGTATATGCTGTGCAGAAATTTTATGCAGTAGTGGTGAGATGTAGTTGCATAATACCAGCTTTACTCCTGACCTGCGTTGCTGCTCAGTATAAAGACTGTTTTATAGCACACTTCTAGTTATACCATAGGTAAAATTTATGCATCAGTTTAATTTAAATGGGCTTGGAAAATGTGTAAAGACAGGTTTCTTGTAGAAGCTTTTCCTTTGAGCTTATGCAGTGTCATTGCTTGCCCAAATAGAATGGACATACTATGCGACAAACTTCTGAACAAACCTCTTAAAGGTGCCAACACTGGTAAAAAGAGGAGCAGACTGACTGTTTCGAAGGCACTGTGTCCTCAGGGCTCTGTATCGCACCTGAATATGGACAGGGTGCTGCTTGGAACGTGAACCAGGCTGTAGCAGAGGCTCGAGAGGGACAGAAAGGCTTACTGAAAGTCTCTGAAACAGGGAGAGAACTGCATCACACCTTTGTTTTTATACTCACCATTGCCCTATTTGCTCGATTTCTGCAACGGCAGACCTGGTCATCTGCTCAGCAAGCCCCGCGTGTGGAGAGCTTTCAAGCAGTGCTGTGTGGGCCCTCAGCCGGAGAGCCCTGCTGTTGAAGCTTGGTGTCCCCGTTGCCACTTCAGCTCTACAGGCACTTTGGCTGCCAGTTTATTCCAGCACTGTCACTGGAGATGATCCAGCTACAACAGCAGTAGTGCAGCTTTGCAGATACAATTGTGAATAAGCCAGAAATTTTTTATGGCCCAGTGTTGCCAGTCACGTATCATGCCCCTGACTAATGTTGTTTGTATTCTGCACTGAAGGCTTGGTATTAGCAGGGCTTCAGTAAGCTGATGGGGTGGTGTTAGGTTATTGGCCTCTGGTAACTTGTTTGTGGCAAAGTATTTGGTAGTTCTCAAATCTTATGACTGCCTTTCAAACTGGTACTGCCACCTGTATTAACATATGGCTTCTGTAGTTTTACATATGTGATCTCCATGTCCTGCATAAATTACACCTAGTGGGAAAAATGTCAGTAATTTGTTAGTGGACACAACAGAAATATGAAAAACGCCTTAAATTTACTATGGAATGGGAGGGCATAAGAATGTGCGTGTAGGCTACTACTAAAGAGAAACTTAAGTCAGTTTGCCTTTGTCTAGATAATTGAGCTGCTTCCCAGCTCTGGAGACGACTGGGCACCAGATCATGGCATAAGGTCAGGATGAGGCTTTTGGGTGCCTTCTTCTCTCTCCG